TGATGATGGTGGTGGTGATGATGATGGTGGTGGTGGTGGTGATAAAGGTGATGGATGGTGTTGGTGATGGTGGTGGAGGGGATGATGATGGTGATGCTGGTGATTATGAAGGTGATGATGGTGGTGATGATGATGGTGATGGTGGTAGTGATGAAAGTGCTGGTGGTGGTAATGATGATGGTGGTGGTAATGGTGATGGTGATGATGGTGGTGATGATGATGATAAATTTAAATGGGCAAAGAAAATTATGGGAGTTTGAATGAACATGGTCCTCACAGGCTCATATATTTGAATGCTTAATTCCCAGTCAGTGGACAGTTTAGGAAGGGTTAATAGATATGGCCTTGTTGTACAAGGTGTGTCACTAAGAGGAGGCTTTGAGGGTTCAAAAACCCATACCAAGATCTCTCTCTCTCTCTCTCTCTCTCTCTCTCTCTATGCCTCTACCAATGATCAGGCTGAAAGCTTTGAGCTACTGCTTCAGCCTGTCTGCCTGCCACCGTGCTCCTTTCCATAATGGCTATGACTAACTTCGAAACTGTAAGCAGTTCCCAGTTAAATGCCTTCTTTTGTAAGTTGCCTTGGTGCTGGTGTCTCTTCACAGCAATAAAATAGTGACTAAGACACAGCTCAACAAATATTTCTCTAAGGAAGACATACAAATGTACACTAGGCATGTAAACCTTCTCAGCCATTAATGACATCAGTAATTACGGAAATACAAACAATGCACACAATAAGATATCACCTTAAATGTACTGAAATGACACTTATAAAAACAAAGAAATATAAGACTTGGGACTGGAGAGATGGCTCCATGATTAAGGACATGGCCTGTTTTTCCAGAGGACCTAGGTTTTATTCCTAGCACCCACGTTTGCTCTCTGCCATTTGTAACTCTAGTTTCAGAGGATCCAACACCTTCTTCTGACCTCCTCAGGCACTACACATAAACATGGTGCACAGACATAGATGTAAAACATACTTCCACATTAAAGAAAAAAAGTAGCATTTGTTAAATTATTTTTTTTGAAATTATAATTACGCCATTTTTCCTCTCTTCTCCCTCCACACTCCATACAAGTAACATTATACAGACTGAGCAGGTTATGTTTGTGTACTTAGAAAAAATTTGATTAAAAATAAAAGGCTTACCAGATGCTGGTGAGTGTGTGAAGGAAAGGCCCTCCTATGCACAATTGGTGTAAATTAATTCAGCCATAGGAAAATGGAATGGAGGGTCCTTAAGGAACTACAAACAGGACTAACATATAGCCCAGTAAATTCAGTCTCTTAAAGGGATCTCTGTATTTCAGTGTCCATTACAATAGAACTAACTGTAATGATGACAAGAGAAAATTTGATTAGCACATCATTTAATATGAAAATCATGTGAGTTCTATTAACAGTTTTCATTTCTCTCTTTTCTTGTAGCCCATAATTTACTAACTACAACTTGGTCGTATCTTATTGAAAGCTTCATGGTTGGAATCTTAAGTACAAAACTGATTCAGTTATGGATGGCTACCATTTTTGGTGATGATGTCAATCACATCACTCTCATCTTTTCGGTCCTGTACCTCATCTTTTATGTTTGTAAGTGGGAGGGCTCATGCTTTACACTAAATTACATAGAAAGAGTCACAATAAAAAAAAAAAATCCTCAGAAAAGGGATAGCTATGAAAACGTTTGTGAATTTTTTTCAAGTGGAATATTTTTGTTCAAATATTATTATCAAAAAATGTAAAAAGTGTGAACACCTGTACACAAAGAATAATGTAACGTCTGTGTAAAGCCACAAAAGCTGACATGTTCACCTCCAGCAGAGATCATGCTACCGTTGAAGTTGATCCTTTTGTTGTTGTTCATTCTAAAATTAGGTGAGCTAGTTGGGATGTCTGGAATATTTACTCTGGCTATCATCGGACTTTTTCTAAATTCTACAAGTTTTAAACCAGGAGTTGAAGCATTTCTCCTCGAGTGAGTGGCCATCCTATTTTCACTTTGTTTTATACACTGGAAGCTATGAAATTACAACCATAATAATATCTACATGTTATGATTAAGGCAGTGATATGTAAACTATCCCATTCATTTCTCTGTAACATTCATTGCTGCATAATTTTAGACAAAACAGGTCACCTAATCTTGAGTTTACATTAAGTCTATTTTCCTACTAACTCGCATCCCTTTTAGTGCAGATTTCAGCCGTTTATCTCTGTGACTCTGGGGAACATTACTCTACCATTATTCTTCTAATGGTGTTGATAAACATGAACTTCTGGCTTTTGTTTTCCAATGCTTTCCCCCTCCTATGAACTGCCCACCATCTTATCTGAACCGCTCACTTTCACAGACATGTAAAAGCTACTGTAAAAATCTCAATTCTGGGAATCTGTTTAAAATATAACATGCACCAGGCCCTATTCTTAAAAATGGTAGAAACAAAAGATAATTGTGCCAACTCCTACTGCTTACTTCAACATCCTAGAGAAGGTCCACTTTACTGTCTGAGAGAGAAGAGATCTCCAGTAACCATCTTTTGTTCTCATTCTCTCTGGCCCTCCATTTCCCACATCTCTGCAACTCCTCAACCAAATGACTGATCATGTTACCCTTTATATTCTCCCTCATCTTTTTGTAGACTCCTTTCGTCCTTATCTAGGACATTGTAACCCCTGAATGACTTTTTGTCTCCATTACGCATGAACTGAGGTGGTTTTGTGGCAAACTTGTGATTTTTGTCCCCTGACACTTCTGTACTGATTTCTACCACTGCTTAATTATATTGCTTAACACTTTAGTAGCTGTAAGTGACTTTGGGACTTAGAAATTTACTATCAGTACTTTCAAGTTATGTGAATCATGGTTTCTGGTTGTTCAGTTACTGTGTTGTTATGTCCTGTTGCACACAACTGCAACCTAAATATTTCTTTCAGACTTCAGACTCAATGGAAAATGCAAGTTACTAACTTACACAAATAAACTAATTCAAATTGCTTTAAAGTTTTATGTTTATCTGCATTAGTGTTCTTTTCTTCACAATTCACTTTAATCCTTATTGAGTGTGAATAAATGCCTCATTTACCTTTATATTGTGGATAATTTCATAATGTCTCATGTAGGAAAGCTTCAAAATAAACATGTAAGTTAATATTTCATTCTTCTCAAAAATGCAGATTCTGGAATTGTCTGTCCTTTGTTGGTTTTCTTATGGTGTTCACTTTCATTGGACTTCTAATCCCTGCTCATACATATTTATATATATCATTTTCTGATGTGTATTATTCATTAAATATCTACTTCACACTGATTGTTTTAAGGTAAGAATATCATGTAAGCTTTGTTTCTAAAAATTATTTTATAAAATAACCAAATTATTTCATACATCAGACTGAATAGTTAGTTGTCTCAAACTTCTCATGTGATCATTGACAAAGTAATGCCCAAGGGTTTTCTCAGATTTTAAATAACTTAGAGTAATGTAAATGCTTTGAAAATTTCTGAAGATAAAAAGCTTTATGATCTAATAAGATTACTAGGAGGAAACTACTGTTAATATTTGGCATATTTAATCCAGTATTTTCTATCTTTGTACAAGGTTGCAATAACTTTACCCAACAATAGAAAATCTTGTGAATTTGCTCAGTATTATGCTATGGTGTCTTTAAATTCAAGACTGTAATTAGAAACAGCTCTTTAAGAAATCATAATGAAACCCTCTTTGTAAATGTCCCGCTGGTAATTTTGCAGTCATTTTTTCCAATCTTAAGAGACAGAAGAGTCTGAATAAAAAGGAGATGAAATACTCTAAGGACACCAGCCATAACTGGAGTCTCACAGCTACCTGTCACTCAAATAGTTAAGATTCTACTTCAATCTAGGATAATTAGCTTCTTGAGATCAACCTATTACCTCGAAATATTTGTCCCAAACTATCATAAAAATTTGGTATAGCAGTTGGGAGTGACGTGGGGAAAGAACTGAGCTAAACGGACAAATTGAACAAGATGAAACTGCAAAGAAAAAAGAAAGGAAGGACCCTTCCCCCTCATTTTCCATTTACCACTTCTTATTATAGCCTGGAGGTTACAAAACCTTTGTCTTCCACGTGTGGAAGCACCGCCCACACATGATATGAGGTCACCCGACCACTCAGCAGTGCAAAGAAATAGCAAAAACAAGTCATTCTCTATGCATGCGTCTCTATAGCACTTGCTTTCCTTTGGAACCTTGACAACAGTGTATGAAAGATGGCTCATTGGAAATACAGTAGAATAAAATAGAAAGACATGTATACCAGAAAAACAACTTAAAAACTCGTTTTGTCTTCCAGACTTCTGGTCTTTCTGCTAATGAGCCCCATTTTGTCTCGACTTGGTCACGGTTTCAGCTGGCGCTGGGCATTCATCATGGTGTGGAGTGAAATGAAAGGGACACCCAACATAAACATGGCCCTCCTGCTCGCCTACTCGGACGTTACTCTTGGTTCTGAGAGGGAAAAATCTCAAGTAAAGAAAGCTACGTTTTCTTATTTGGGCATTTGATGAGAGTGCTGTTCAGTGTCGATTTTGTAGTGCAATCCCCGAATGGCTTTTCTGGGGCAAGGGGTGCTTGTTCTGTGGTTTGTTCATTGTGAGAAAGTTGTGAACTAACCTGTAGGGAGAGCCAAGGGACAAGGACCTGATCAAGGTTTCTAGCCAAGGGCCTGCAAGACTGGTGCGAAAAAAATCAAAATTTTCATCCCCCTATCAGCTTAGAGACACCCAGCCACCTTCACAAGTCTAACGGGTTTCAGATGAGTATGAATTAAAAACTGTAAATCATTTTAAACAGCAGCTGTTGCAAGACACACCCTCGATTGTTTCTATTTATTTATTCCAGAATCCATTCATTAAAGGAGATGGTTGGCTGGGAGTTGGCTCTGTCTCCTTGTATCTCTTTATATAATGCCAGGAAGCAAAAAAAAAAGAAATGGCCAGGTAGAGATATCTAAGGAGTGTCCTAACAGAATGTACTAGAGTACATGTTTACCACATGTTAAGGTGAGATTATTACAAAGAACTTTGCAGATCCCAAGAGGAAAGCCACAGTCCTGAAGCTGTTTTTTCCCCCTAAAAGATGATTGAAGACACTCGTGTGCAAGGATATAGTGCGTCCCCAGATGACTTTTTTCTTGCCTGACATCCAATCTCCTCATTTGCTACAATCATCTGTTAGCATGTTACAACCTAGTTCAATTTGTAATTCAGAATATATTGTAATAAATTTCCTGAATACTTATTTAATATATATTTTTTTCAATTCTAGATACTATTTCATGGAGTGTCAGTATGCTTAATTACCCTGATTGTCAATAGATTTATTTTGCCAATGGCAGTTACTAAACTAGGTAAGCCCTACTATTTACTATGGTGAGAGAAGAAAAAATTATTCCAATATTCTAAGAAGCACTGATAATAAAATATTCATCTAGCCAGAGTGGTGGTGCACGACTTTAATCCCAGAACTTAGGAGGCAGAGGCAGGCGGATCTCTCTGAGTTCAAGGCCAGCCTAGTCTACAAAGTGAGTCCAGGAGAGCCAGGGCTAAAACCCTGTCTTGAAAAACAAAACAACAACAACAAAGTCCATCTAGATACATGTCAGTGTTTTCTAATTGGAGAGGAAATTGTATAAAATGTATAAACCTTTCAGGCTAATATAGTTATTTTTAAAGATTTTATATTAACCTAGTATAATTGAAGAATACTATAAGTTCATCCAGTTATTCAACAAACTTTTTAATAAAAATAATCTAGTTACTAGACACTATTGTAAGAAGTATTACATTCTGAAGATAGGTAAGATTTCTGACCTGGCAGAGTTTTCATAGGAATAAAGAAAAAAAGAAGCCGTGATTAAGTCAAATGAGTTCGTGTGATTCACAGAAATAAAAAATAAGCCATATGCAAAATAAAAGAGAAAAGATAAAAAAGTGCTACTTTCCCAAGGAAACTAGAGACTGTGCTAATGGGCAGAAAGCAGTAGAGGGATTTGACCCTCAGATAATATGGCAGGTAATTCATCTGACATACTTATTTGCCCATATAATTTTGGAAGCTGAGTTCCAAGAACTTCAGTGTGAATGCCTGAGAAATGAGAAAACCCTCAGCATAAGTTCCAACCCAAGCACAAAAGGAGAAGAAATTAAAGTTCAAACAGTACTGCTGCCTTACCTAGAAAACTGGGAGAACAGACTCACTCTGAAAAATAGATAGATACATAAATATAGTTATAAAATAAATTCAAGATAGGTAAAAACTAGTGCATACAAAATGGTTAGTCATCTTTCCCTAGCATATAGTAAGCATTCAATAATTGACTATTGCTCTTACAGTTGGATCTCAAAAGTCTGCAAGTACAAAAACTTTGAACCACTAGCTTTCTTGCCGATAAGAGTTTATGTAGAATCTTTAATGTTTAAGCACACTTAGTGGTAGGGCTGATAGATAGATCAGTATATAAAGTATTGCTGCATGAGTATAAAAGCATGAGTCTAGATTCCTAGAAACCCATGCCCACCCATCCCGCCAAAAAACAGATGCACCTGTAACCCTATAACAGGGAAATGCAGAGAAGAGAACCCAGGAGCTCACTGACCAGCCACTGCAGCCCAGAAGAAAGCCCCAGGTTCAGTGAGAGACCCTGCCTCAAAAAATAAGATGAGGAAGTGATTGAAAAAGGCATCTCACTATCAACCTGTTCCCTCCACATACAACCATGCAAGGCTAGCATGCCTGTGCACAGGTATACACACACAAGCACACACTCACACACACACACACACACACACACACACACACACACACACCACAAACGATTAGTGTTGGTAAATAAAAAACAAAAGGATATTTTATGATTCATATCAAAATAGTATCTTTCTGCTGTTTGTAACATGTGCTCTTTTCCCTAAGGTCTGCGTGATGTCACATCAACAAAATATAAATCGGTTTATTATACATTCCAACACTTTCAAGAGCTAACCAAATCTACAGCCACAGCACTCAAGTTTGACAAAGATCTCGCTAATGCTGACTGGAACTTGGTTGAGAAGGCAATTATACTTCAAAATCCATATGCAGTAAGCATGCGATAGCTCTCTGTTCCATTAGGGCAAATATGAATGCCAGTAAATAGATCATATCATAAATACTCATTCAAACTCAAAATGTCTATAATTTTAATTCATATTCATCACTCCTTATTTCCTGTAACAGTAAGGAGAATGTCTTAATATTATGGCTATCCTGTGACAGAGTGGAAGTCAGAACCCATTGGCATACATATGACGTACATGTCAATTAAAAGGAGAGCAGCATATTGGCACAGACTTTCAAAGATATTGTATAAAAAAAGAGAGAGAGAGAGAGAGCAAGCCTAAGAAAATATTCTCTTTTCACAAGATCAGGAACAAGAATGGTCTCACAGTCACTTATTTATTCATCATTTATTTGGGTTATTATACGTTCTCAGCACTGTCTACAGCCTAGAGTATGGTTACTTGCATTTTATATAAAATAGAGGCCAAGATCAGCACCAAAAGTTTATCTGTGAGTGAAATAGCACTTTCTATATCTGAGAAATACTTAAGAATGTCTCAGAACATACTTCATCATCTTAAAGCACTTAGAATGTCAGCCAGGACTACAGGAGAACATGATTCAAACACACACACACACACACACACACACACACACACTAGTACTCACCACAGCACTGAGTCATAGCTGCCACCAAGGAAATGGTAAAGTATCCCTGTGTTTTCCCAAGGCTGTTCTTCTGTTTCCATGTCCTAAGCCATGCCGGTTTTCATTGTAGTCTTTTTCTGCATCACATTATGGAAATGGATGCCAAGTCCATTTCATATCCATAAACTGTGCTTGAAGATACGGATGGGGACTCAGAACCCAGCCTTGTCCAGGAATCCAACTGGAATTTCTGTTTAAACAGATACTCAGTTGATTCAAAGGCTTCTTCAGTTTTACTGGGTCTCTGGGGCATTTTGCTGACCTGTCTGCCGGCATGAAGGTGGTCTGGAACTCCAGTGAGCTCCCTACTCCCACCCTGGAGAGTCTAATGTGCACTGTGGCACCAGACCTTTTCACTCCACTCCCCATCTGGTCACAAGGCAGTGCCCAGGCCACATCCTTGTCACTTGATTTGTTTCAGAAGCAGGTGACCAAGTGCTGGCATTGTCCTCTCTTTGAGGTATAATCCTGGGGTAATTACTGTGCTATAGATAGAGCCCTAGCCCTATCTATATTTTTATAGATGTTTTATAGTTATAAATTATCCATATTTGCATCCATTTAATAAATGTTCACTCTTTTTTTTTTTGCGCCTTGACTGATTCATTTAAACCAGTAGTCACCAAAGTCTAAGGGCAGCAGATTGTGATTGCTACCCATCTTTCCCAGTTCTGATACAGTGGGTGATGGGAGAATGCACATTCACAAGTGATGCTGAGACGGTCAGGGACCACATAAAAACAATAGCTCAAAGTGTGACTGTATATGGGATAGCTTCTATAAACACTCCATAATTCCCGAAAACCACCTATCAGTGGTTTTTAGCTCCTATAGAACTGAGTCAACAGTGAGACCACTTGAGCAAATAGGGGCAATTAGATATTTTTCTGTATCTACCAGATTTTCTTTCACTTTCACTTTTCTTTCACTTTTTTCCTTCTTTTTATTTTATTAGTTGAGCCAAGAAGAAACAACAGAGCACCAGAAGGTGAAATGTCCAGATTGCAATAAGGAGATAGATGAGACCCTCAACATTGAAGCAATGGAACTGGCCAACAGGCGTCTTTTGTCGGCACAGATAGTAAGTTCAACATTTTACTCCTTTAGAAATGCTGGGGACCCAAAACTGTTGCAAACAGTTCTTCCCTTGCTCGGTATATTTTGATTCCTTCGCCCTACACAATTCAACAAGAGCATGCTAGTACAAAGTTCCAGAAGAGTACTTTGAAAAGAGAAAAGGGAGAGTAAAAGACTGAGTGAGGGAATGAGGAAAATGAAAGAAAGAAGAAAAAGAGACAAGAAGAAAGGCAGGAAAGAAGAAAGGCAGGAAGGCAGGAAGGCAGGAAGGAAGGGAGGGAGGGAGGGAGGGAGGGAGGGAGGAAGGAAGGAAGGAAGGAAGGAAGGGAAGAAATAAAATCTCAAAAAAAAGTGTTTAGTTTGGGAATTTCACAGATGCAAATGCTGTTGAGTTCATGTCAGAAATAGTCCCTGTTGCCCTTATTAGAGAACCCATTTGGACACTAAGCTAGGGTCAGATGGAAGGGGAGGAGGTCCTCCCCTATTAGCGGACTTGGAAAGGGGCAGGGAGAAGATGAGGGAGGGAGGGTGGTATTGGCAGGGAATGAGGGTGGGGGCTACAGCTGGGATACAAAGTAAATATCCTGTGATTAATATAAAAAATAAATAAATTTAAAAAAAAGAAAAAAAGACTCACACACACACACAAAAAAAAAAAAGTACAGAAGCTCTGTGGTGCAGCAATGAACAAGACTCTGGGCAATTGCCTTTAGCTTCCTTTCAGCTTTCTATCAGCTTTCTATCTAGGCCACGATCTTAGCCGCATACTGTGGCTGACCCTTTCAAGGCATCCATGTTCGTTCTCCTAGAGTACAGAACAATCCCTGTTTTTCAACCATTGCCACCATTCGGGATTCCAAGCCTTCTGCTCACTGACCCTGCTTGGGAAATGGAAAATCTGTAAGCTGTGAGTTTTCTCTCTTTAACAGGAATCAAGGCAGACATGTTCTTAGGCCTCACTTTCCCTTCAGCTCACTCAAACACCTATAGTACTTTGAAGCCTCAGTAGTTCTATAGTGAATGAATGAATGGCTGCCTGGTGCTGAATCCTACCTGCAGACTTCTGACTTGTCACATCCATTTAAGTGTTACCATCTGCAGGGGAAGAATGCCCTCACACACAGTTAGGTGGGCATGAGGCATGATGTTTTGTCCTGTTTTGTTTCATTTTTTAGCCAGTTCTTTCATCTCTTTGAAATCCTATATTCCAGGGAGCCATTGTCCCTGAGGGTAAATGGAAAAAAGCTAGTCATCAGAGATTTTCTCTGGAACTATCTCTGAGCAGCTTCTAAAGTAAAGACATGGAAGTGCCCTTTCTTAAATATAAGCCAGCAGGAAAGAGGGTGCCTGTCAACTACATCTTTATAGGGACCTAGGTCCAGTTCATGCATGGTCAGTCTCAGCAAGGATCTCTGGGCCCTGGTTGGTTGGCTCTGTTGGGCTTCTTGTGGAGCCCCTGCCACTTCAGGTCCTTCTCTCTTTCCTCCCACTTTTCCACAAGACTTCCCTACACATCCCCCAATGTCTGGCTGTGAGTCTCAGCATATGTTTTAAGGTGCTGCTGGATTCATTCTCTCAGAGGACAATTCTGTCAGGCTCCTCTCTGCAAACTTAGCAGAGTATTGTTCATAGTGTCAGGGGTTGGTTCTCTCCAATAGGATGAGTCTTTGGTTGGGCCAAGCATTAGCTGGGCAGTCCCCCAGCCTCTGCTCTATCTGCTCTACCTTTATCCCTGCACATCTTGTAGGTAGGGTAAACTCAGGGTTGAAGAGTGTGTAGGTGGGTTGGAATTCCCCTCCCTCTACTAGAAGGCTAGTCTAGTTAGGTGTCCTCTTCATCCTTTATGCCTCTGCTACCAGGAGTCACTGCTTGAATCCTCCTCATATTCTGCCAGGGGCCTATCCTGACTTAGGTCTCCAGCTTCTTACCCTCCCCTCTCCTACCTTGTTCCCTCTCTTATTCACGATTTGTTATCTTTAATTTTGTATTTTCCCTAACAATGATTTTTATTAGTTACTCTATAAATATCCAGCTTTATATAGATATGCCTTATTAAATACATATTCTTCAAAACATTGATATTATGTTTCCTGTTGATATTTTCAACATTTCCAACCAAGGATATCTTTATAATTTACCTCCCGATGGTTTAGTAGTTAGGTGTGCCCAAACTTATGACATTATCTATGGATTTCATAATTGAGTACCATAAAATCAAGTTAACTAGGTGACTGCAGCCTCATAGAATGAGTTTGGTAATGTTCCTTCTGTTTCTATTTTGTGGAATAGTTTGAAGAGAATTGGAGTTAGCTCTTCTTGAATATCTGGTAGAATTCTTTGTTAAAACAATCTAGCCCTGGGCTTTTTTTGGAAGGAAGACTTCTGATGACTGCTTCTATTTCTTTGGGTGATATAGGACTATTCAATCTATTTACCTGATGTTGACTTAATTTTGGTAAATGGAATATATTGAGAAAATTGTCCATTTCATTTATATTTTCAAATTTTGGGGTATATAGGCTTTTGTAGTAAGACCTAATGATTGTTTGGATTTCCTTGGTGTATTGTTATGTCTGCCTTTTCATTTCTGATTTTGCTGATTTGGATAGCTTCTCTTTGCCTTTTAGTTAGGTTGGCTAAGGATTTGTCTATCTTGTTGATTTTCTCAAAGAACCAGCTCTTGGTCTCATTGATTCTTTGTATTGTTTTCTTTTTTTCTAAATCATTGATTTTAGCTCTGAATTTAATTATTTCCAGTCATCTACTTCTCTTGGGTGTGTCTGCTTCTTTTTTTTTTCCCTATGGCATTTAGGTGTGCCACAAAGTGGCTTGTATGAGGCACTAAATGCTATGAACTTTACTCTTAGCACTGCTTTCATTGTGATCATCCTGAGTGAGGTGTCCCAGAAGCAGAAAGACACACATGGTATATACTCACTTATAGAAATATAATATAGGCTAAACACACTAAAGAAGCTAAGCAAGAAGGAGGACCCTGAGTAAGATGATCAATCCTCATTCAGAAAGACAAACTGGACAGATATTGAAAGAAGGATAAAACAGGAAACAGGACCGGAGCCTACCACAGAGGGCCTCTGAAAGACTCTATCCAGCAGGGTATCAAAGCAGATCAGCCAAACTTTGGACAGAGTGCAGGGAATCTTTATGAAAGATGGGGAAGATAGAAAGACCAGAGGGGATAGGAGCTCCACAAGTAGAGTAACAGAACCAAAATATCTGGAACCAGCATCTTTCCTCAGACTGATACTCCAGTCAAGGACCATGCATGGAGATAACCTAAAACTCCTGCACTGAAGAGACTTACTTAGAATATTAGGAGGTGTGTGTGTGTGTGTGTGTGTGTGTGTGTGTGTGTGTGTTATTGTTTGTTTGTTAACTTGACTTTTTTATAAGTTTTACTTTTATTTTTATATTAATTACAGTTTATTCACTTTATAGCTCAGCTGTAGCCCCCTCTGTCATTCCTTCCCAATCCCATTCTCTGTCCCTCATCTCCTCTCTGCCCCTTTCCAAGTCCAAGTTCTCCAGCTCCAGGGTTTTCTCTTTTTTGTGTGTATTGTTTTCTTTATTGATTCTAATTTTGTTTTCATGTCTTGCATCATTTCCTTCATCTGTTTGAATGTGGATTCCTGCCTTTCTTTGTTCATTTTCTCACTGTTCCTCTACTTGTGCCTCTACATGTGCCTCTATCTGTTTGGCTGTATTTGCCTGTATTTCTTTGAGAGCTTCGTTTGTTTCCTCTTTGTGTGCCTCTAATAACTGGGTAAGCATAGATTTGAGATAATTTTCTTGTGTTTACAAAGAATTAAAATATCCATTTATTTTGGGGGGTGCTGGTGAAGCCATGATGTACTGGTTTTTTTTTTTTTTGTTGTTGTTGTTGTTGGATGTGTTCTTATGCCAACCTTTATCCATCTGTGTATCTGTTACCTTCACTGTTTGTTCCTGGAGTCTGTACTTCAGACTGGGTCCATCTATCTCTGGAGTCTGGAGTATTCTTCAGGAAGATGAGAGAGGTCCAGTTTGAGAGTAGATGTTTTGTGTTTCAACTGTAGCTAAGGGAGGAAGGTCGAAGGCACATGTGCACAAGCATGGGAGTGTGTGTGGAAGCGGGCCTTGAAGGACAGGGTGCTAGAGCGTAGATGCCTGGAAGGGTGGAGGGGGTGCTAGCACTGGTCATGGGAGCAGTGCACGTACACAGGTGCCCAGAATGCCTCAGTAGGCCACAGGCCTCTCATACTGTCCGCCCACTATTCAGATCTGTCTGGGCTCTAGCAATTCCTTGCCTGGACTCCACTGGGAGACCCATAGAACAGGGACTTCAATGTTGAGAATGCTGTTCCAAGAATCCTTATGTTGCCCACAGTGGGAGTGTGGGTGGGAGGGATCTGATGTCTGGCTGCTAGCATAGAGGGACCCGGGATCTGGGGCTCTGCATGCATTCACTTGAATACACACTCACTTGCTTCCAGGCCTAATCAGAAAACACAGGGGTTCCCCTGTCCTCTATTCTCAGATTTGAGCCCATAGGGGCAAATGAAAGTATAGGAGATCCATCAGATCAGTGGTGTCCACTGTTTGGCTGCCAGGGAGGCCTGTACTTGAGACAGCTGCCTCTGCTGTCTCTGTCACCAAGCAAGGAGGCCTCTGCTAGGGCTAGCCACAGCCCGCTGCAGCCGCAGACCTGGGAGGGCCCCTACTACTGCCGCCTCTGCCTTCTCTGTCACCAAGCAGGGAGGCTAGTGCTTGGATAACCACTGCTGCCAAGCAAGGAGGCCCGTGCTTGGGACACAAAGGAAGTTCAGGGGGCTGCAATATTCACTCCTCTCAGTCACTGGAGATGTTCACAGGTGACCTGGATCCAAACTGTCGCAGCTCACCTGTTGTCCCCTCTCTCCCAGGAAGCCTCAATGGTGATGATCTGGCTTCAGTTGTCCCTCCACTCAGCAATTTCGGAGTTTTAGATCCCGTGCCTCTCAGATATGGTGTACGCTGGTCACCACCATTTGAACCCCTGCCTCCTCCCCTCACATAATAACTTTAATCAAAACTTTTTTTCAGGCGAGCTACCAGCGGCAGTACAGGAATGAGATTCTGTCCCAGAGTGCAGTGCAGGTGTTGGTAGGCGCAGCCGGAAGCTTTGGTGAGAGGAAGGGAGAGTAAGTATGCTATTAAGAGAGGCTTCTACCCTATGCCACTCTGTGTGGGAGTTTTCACGCTGGTATGTTGTAATCCCCGTTCACCTGCTATTATTTGCACAAACCTCCTCCTGCTCTGCACCACATACCCCCTCTCCATGTCCCAATCTTCAATCCTTAAGGCTGGTGTATTTGGACAAACATCCCCTGAAAAAAAGTATTTTTCTCCTTTTTGTTTCCCATATGCGAAGTTCATCTGTAACAAACTGCCTTTTCTTTCAGCCTTGCTGAACACCTGAATAAGAATCAAGTGTCCCTTAATCCCCATGGGTCCTTCTTCCCAAAGCACAGATGAACCACACTTGTCCTCTGGTAGCAACTGGCTACTATATCCTTGTAAGCTGGTACTGATTTCCTTGGATCCATCATCTTAAAAAAGCTGGTGTTTTGGGGAACAACCTCAGATCACCCTTGGTAAGGGAATGAAAGATCTATGAGTAGAAATAGGAGAGCAGGAAAACAGTGCTTAAAATGTTTACACAGTTGTCACAGTGTCTACCCAAAGCTAGGACATACCTCCCAAATCTAGATTTCTCCCTACTGCTGAAGAAACTTAAATCCATCTGCTATGACGCTAAGGTCATTTACAGAGTCTGCTTAGACCTGCTTGGATCATCATCTCACCAACATGCATTTATTGTCCCTACATCCTAAATGTGATGTACCAATCTTGTGTCCATTCACATGTGTTACCCACACAGTAAAGAGAAAAAGCTGTATGTGAGAAGAGAATCATGGTTTACTCATGCATGACTTCCCCCAAGAGCATAAGAGTTTTCACTTCCAGCCAGTCTGTGCAAGTCATTACAACACTTTATGTGTTGAGGTAGAAATATAAAGCTTTTTAAAATTTGGGTTTCTTAACATATATTGAAGTATTTCCATATATAATTCAAGAGTCTCCATTTTTTCTCTAAACCCCTACCTTTAAAATGAGTGGATAACCTTTGTAGAATTGAAGGAACTGGACAAATTCATCTTTTTAAAACAATGCCCTCTGAGGACACTGAAAAGTATCAGTGAAAGTTTTTAAATGGCTGAAAAATTGTCACTCTAAAAACCATTGTCATTACATGGTCTGGGAGAGGCAATGTGAGAAAATAAAGCATTAAAGAGAAAAAAAAAAAGCCTTGACTTTTTTAACCTTTAAATCAAGTGCTAAGGCAAAGAGAGTCATGTGCAGAGAACTTAGAGGAAATTGACACAAGAATGTCAACAGTGGGCATGAGGAAGGGACTCAAACGGACTGAAGTGACAATGCAGGGGATTGGTGGAACCTGTGACAATTAAATTCTCACATATAGGATGCATATTTAGCATCAATATATGACATATGCCAGACACTGCAGGCAATATCAGAGTAGTAGCCCTGTGTTTCCCTGCTAGAGAACTATTGATCATACTTAGTTTTGGGTATTTCTTTGTTCGGCTACCTAGGAGCTGATTTTGCTAGTTCTTGATTGGAATCACCTGGTAGCTCCACAGCTTGGGGTTTCCTGTGGCAAGAAAAACAAGTCTAAGTCTAGAAGATGCAGAGGGCTTACACGGGGTACCAGGACATATTTCCAGTGCCTAGGCAACACCCTAGGAAATAATGCCTTCAAAATATTGTTTATTCTTACTGTAGGCTGTGTCAGACACACAGCATTAACATGACTGAACATGTTCCATGCATTACCTATTTTTCCCTCACAAAACTTCCTTTAGTGCTCCTGTTATCCTCATGATGCAGAGAAGAAAAGTGAAGAGAAATTTATTAACTTGCTAGGGGTTCTTTGTCTAATAAATCACAGAGCTGGGATTCAAAGCTAGGCTGCTCTACTAACCCATCACAGAGACCACACTCCTTCCTAAGTCAGGTCTCAGCAGTGAATGTGTTCATATCAAATGAAAATCTAAGAGCCTGAAGTACTTTGTAATTAGGGTTCTGGTCTCACATAACTTGGAGATTCCTAAGAACCCGTGAAATTGTGAGACCTTGTCTGAGATAACAATTCTTTCAATAGGGTTTCCTCATTCTTCAGAAGTCTATTTATATGTCCCCTCTATTTATATGTCTCCAGAAGTCTATTTATATGGTGGAGAGTGTCCTCTTACTAGCCTATCCATGACAACAGTTACTGAGTTGGTTACTTTGTGTATTTCATCACACTGATCCCCTGGACCTTTAAAGACCTGTGTTTTTTAATGCTTTATCCATAGCATGTACCAAGCATAGTAGATTACTTTTAATAACTATAATTTATAGATCCACCATATTATATACACTTATGATAACCTCTTTGGAATGACTTCATAATATTGAATTTCAGAGAATTGGATGATGTCATTGTTTTTGATGATATCAATAAAGCTATAGCACAACAAAGCAAAAACCTTACATAAATTTCAGAGTGAAACAAATAATCAAGAGGAAGGACAAAGCAAGCCTTTGCACTTGGGTTTCCAGCAGTTTTAAATAGCGAGCAGAGAGCCTGGTGAACTTTTTGATAAAGATAATAAGAGAACCTGGTGAAGATAAATTCCTCATAAAATCAAGAGGGCTGGCTACGCAAGACCAAGTCACCACTCACAGATTTGAGCTATTTCAATTAAAAAAAATTGAAAGAAATCTATAAGCAGCTTCCAGTAAGTGCTACTGAAATGCACTTGTGAACCCGACCTCTCCAAATTAATATGTTTACCTTTTGTAGTCACTTAAACCCAGCTATTTGCCGTGAAGGGAAACATGTGTGAGGTGGGTTAGATGCCTTACTTACTGCTGAATTATCCTAGCCTGACCCCCATGAACTAAAATGTTAGTGAGATCTTTCCCTGGGCTGGTGGTCCTGGGTTCTATAAGAATGTAGGCTGAGCAAGCCATGTGAAGTAAGCTAGCAAGCAGTACCCCTTCGTGGCCTCTTCATCAGCTCCTGCCTTCAGGATCATGCTCTGTTTGAGTTCCTGACTTCTTCCCACAATGACTAGCCATATGGAAGTGTAAGCTGAATAAACCCATTCCTCCCCATCTTGCTTTTTGCTCGTGACATTTTGTCACAGCAGCAGAATCTCTGACTAAGATGCACATTTAATGATTTCTCTCTCTCTCCTAGATATATGAGTCCTGAGAATATAAAGAATTATTCTGAAAGCAAAAAACTCCTCTCCTTCCTCAGAAAACTATTACTCAACTGGGTGTATAATACTAAAAAAGATAAAGGGAGTCCATCAAGGTGAGCAGTCCTGAAAATGTGATGGTAACTTTTTGGAAGTTAGTTTCTTTTTAAATTTTAATCTAAATAGTTTGTGAACTATTTTGAAGTCCTTTAATTTAATTCCTTACATATATTCAAAAAAAATTACTTAAAAGAAGTTAAGACATGAGTGACATTTTGCTTGTATTTTGGAGATTGGGGTGTTTTGTATTTTTAAGTGCTGTATCTGCTAGGTAAATGTTCTACTACTGTGCTAAATCTTCAATTAATGTTCTTTTTAATTAGCATGTTAATTATATACAATAATGTTTTGTGACATTTTCATATACATCCATATTCTCCCCTTCAATTCTTCTTCCAAACTGCACTCTTCTACTCTTCTAGTTTCATATCCATGTGTGTGAATGGGCATTCATGTGTGTACACGTGTATATGCTTGTGTGGGTCCCAAAACAGCTTTCCTTAGGGTTGTTGTCCTAGTTGGTGTTTCTATTGCTGAAATGAAACACTGTGACCAAAATCAACTCGGCAAAGAAAGGGCCTCCTTTTCCATACACCCTCCAACCACCTGCCCAGGAGTCACACTGCTCACAATGGCCTGGGCCCTCCCACACCAGTAATCATTTATTAGTCAAGAGAATGCCCCACAGACTTCCCCCATGGGCCAGATATGGTGGGAGCATTTTTCCAATGAAGGTTTCCTCTTCCCAAATGACTCTGGTTTCTGCCAACATGCCAGACAACCAGACAACTAACCAACACAGTTGTTTGCTGGAGCCTGAGCAGGAATTTACACCGGCATGGACAGGAATTTGTTTACAGGAGCATTTGCACCTAAGTTTTTTCTTTCTTTCTTTCTTTCTTTCTTTCTTTCTTTCTTTCTTTCTTTCTTTCTTTCTTTCTTTCTTTCTT